CTAATAAATTTGTTAGTCTCTAAGGTGCCACAAGTACTCCTGTTCTTATAGCAAAACTGTTTCTTCTTTACAGTTACTGAGAACAAAAAGCTTACCTTTTTAAAATTATTTTTTAGGGTTGAACAAATGTGCATTCAGATAAAAGAAGTTGGTGATCGAGTCAACTACATCAAACGGTCATTGAACTCTTTAGATTCTCAGATTGGCCACCTACAGGATCTCTCTGCTCTCACTGTGGATACTCTAAAAACACTAACTGCACAAAAAGCTTCGGAAGCCAGCAAAGTCCATAATGAAATTACCCGGGAGTTAAGCATTTCAAAACATTTGGCACAAAACCTTATTGATGATGGTTCTCTGAGATCTTCAGTATGGAAAAAACACAACATTGGAAATGTGTTTGGTTCTTCTTTTCCACAAGGAGACCTCGAGAGTAGTAATGCTTTATTATGTAACATTTCTATGCACAGTGAAAGAGATATTCAACATAAGACAATTGGCCAGGATTTAACTCCAGTTTCCAGGGGGGAAGAACTAAACTTTCAAGAGGCAGGTTCCTCAAGCAGTGCCTTTTTTCCAAGTGCTGTTTCTCCTCCAGAACTTCGACAAAGATTACAGGGTTCAGAGATCTCAAAATCCATTAATAAAAATAAAAAATTAGGCAATTCATCAAACAGCATGCCACGTCTAACATCCCCAACAGCTAAGTTATTTGTTAGCACTCCATCTCAGCCGAGTTGCAGAAGTCAGTTGGAATCTACAGCAAACAATGAAGCAGCAATTTTGTCTAAGGCTACAGAAGGAGATAGTAACGTAGAATTTGGTGCATTTGTGGGTAAGTATAACAAAGTAGATTGTGAATGTCCTGAAGTCATTAGTAGCTGCTCTTATCCTCTTGCTTCTGGCTCTGCTTGCCTTGCTTTCACCCAGCCTTGTGTTGAAAGTGGAGGATATGTTAATTGTGGTTTTATTCATGATGAAGATGACACTAATGATTACAACTGCAGAAGCAGAGTTGATACATTTGATGAGCAGTCCTCTGAGAACAGTATCCAAAAGAAGCTACCTCTGTCATCCAGCAACCAAGCATCGACAGTAAACTGTGACCCAAGTGGTGGTTCACGTGAAAAATTGAATATTAAAGATGAAGTTTCCAAAAGCCAGCATGTTCAAGCAATGGAACCACCAAATAGAGATTTAAATTCTAACATCATTACAGGACTACTTCAAAAACTGTGGACCAAATCGAAACCACAAGGTTTGATTTACCAAGAATTGTATGGTATTTTGGGTTTATTCTGGTTGCAGGTGACTTTATTCTACCATTGTGCTTTGCTATTTTGCTTTAAACCTTTCTATTTTCTCTAAACTGTATGGATGTTTTTAACTTTAAAATTATCATTTCTTTATAATTCTGTCACATAGACAATATTTTTCAGACAAACATTAGACAGCTATTGACCAATGACAGCTTCTTAATAATGTTAGCATCTCTACAGCTAAGGTGAACTCTAGAAGGACTAATTTTAAGGTCCCACTTTTTGCCCATGCAAAAAATATTGTCTATTTTTTGAGAAATTGCGGAAGACTTGTTTTGTCTAATGGAATCATGAATAAATATCTTTGTGGTATCTGTGTCAAGCTCAGGGATCCTTACTATGCTATCCTCCTCAACACTTTTGTGACCAGGATCTACCACTGTTACCTACAGTAATACTGTAGTAGTGCAGTAATATTTTAAAAACTTTCCAAAGTCCTTTTTTAATCTAATGTTACATGCTGCTTCAACTTTTGCATAACAGTAAAAAGGTACATGTTTTTTATTAGACTCTTTAGACACTCTTTGATTAATAAAACAGTGGCAGATTCATTTCGAAAGTAGGTGTTGGTTTACTAACTAAATACCGTAAATTAGAGACCAAATACTTTAAATTAGACCCAAATACAAGTGGAGGATCACAGTCTTAATCTGTCAGGCACCTGTGCAAGTGTTATCTTGCAAAAGCAATTGTGTAGGGGAATCCCAAAACATATTTTCCAAGTGATATTTACTATTTAAAGTTAAGTTTAAATTTAGACAAGAGTTTTGTTCTGATGCCATGATGTTTAGGTGCTCAAAAAGTAATATTTTTTTGACTTGTAGGGGGGATGGCAAGCCATTTAATTGTGTAATCATTAACAGGGCACATTATAATACAGAAAAACATTTATACTTTATTAGTTTGTTTTTTTAAAAGCAGAAAACACAAAGCATTTGAAATCTGACTGTATAGCTCAGTCAGGTCTTTAATTAACCACAGCACTAATAAGGTTAAGTATTAAGTATACTTATTTTACTTGAGCCATGCCTTCGTTATATGGTCCTTTCTCTTCTGGAATTTAGAATGTACTCTTCATCCATAATATACATGTTTTATAGAAATTCAGATGTGGTGCAGCTATATGTTGTCAATCAATTATGTTTGTTTTCATTATAAAACCATGCACATTGGTGGAATTCTGAAAATATTTCCTGTAACTATTAGGATGAAGTGTATATTTTAAAAACCTACCACAGGAAACTCTGCTTTTTCTATACTTTACACATTTATGTAAAAATAGTGAGACTCAGAATATCCAATAAAATGGTATATGGAACTAATCTAATTTATTTTCTTGAAGGAGTAATATTTTTAAATTGTATGAATTTTATTGTGGTGGTGTTCTACACATTTTAATATAGGAAAAGCAACAGTTCCTTATCTTTACTAACCTATCATTTATATCCATTTACTTCAGAGTTCTTCATTATAAGTCTGTCTCAATGAAAACATTGGCAGCATTTATTACAGTTTGTCCCCATCATAACAACAATATCTGGCATGTTCCAAATTTTTTCAGTGTTATCTTTGATACTGAATACTTTATATTTTTCAATTTACTGGGTCAAAGGTCACAGAGACAGCATGGAGTTACAACAATTTAAGGAGTCAGCAATTAAAATTAAAGAAAAAAATGCTAATATTGAGGTAAGACTGAAATTTTTACTTTCAAATTGCAAATCAGTAGTTTAATGTGGACATAGACATCTTTTTCATGTATAGTTTACAGTAGATTTTTGAAAATGTAAGAATAGATTTTTGCAAAACTAATATGAAAAGAAATTTACTAACAATCAGTAACAATGCAACCTTAACTATGGAGGAACTACGGTTGCTGCAAAATATGAAACTAGTAAATATTTAACAGGATTTGATAGTATGTAACCTCACAGAGGCCAACATTAGTCTAGCCATTAAAGTAAATTAAAAATGATACTTGACTTTAATTAGAATAATAATATAGATTCCAAGGGCAGAAGGGACTGCTGTGATCATCTGTTCTTACCCCTGTATAATACAGGCTATACACTCTAAGGATTGTTTTGGGGAAGTTACATCTTTTAGAAAAACATCCAATCATGATTTATTTACATTATCAACATTGCTATAAAATGAAACATTACCAATTTGAAATTCATAACTTAAAAGCAAACTGCAGTATTTAAGATTGAAATTCACTATTTGTCTTCCTGTCTTACAACTTATAAAATAAGATGACATCGTGTAATTCACTTCCTCTGGCAGACAGTTTCTTTTAAAATTGTTCACACCTAATTCCAAGGAGAAAATCTTACTTCTGAATTAACTTCAAGATTAGATGGTTATCTGTGACCAACCTGGTGATGGACCCTTGCTGTTAGAGCGTGAATAGATGATGTACTTTGCACTGAGCTAGCCAAGAGTATTACTAAAAGATTGCACTGAATGCTGATATAAAGTATGCATCTGTTTATGGTACTGGAAATGTCCACTTTAAATACTCAAGACATACCGTCTATACTTGCTCATTAGCCCGTTTGTTTATAAGCCGACCCACCAAGATGGTTAGGTAAATATAGCAAAAACTGTATGACCCTTTCATAAGCCAACTGTATATTTCAGGGGTTGGCAAACTTTGGCTCCTGGCCCGTTAGGGTAAGCTGCTAGCGGCCCTGGACATTTTGTTTACCTGGAGCGTCTGCAGGCATGGAGCCCCTGAGCTCCCTGTGGCTGAGGTTCACCGTTCCCAGCCAATGGAAGCTGCGGGAAGTGGCGCGCCATTGGCTGGGAACGGCAAACCGCCGACACTAGGAGCTGAGGGGCTCCGTGCCTGTGAACGCTCCAGGTAAACAAAACGACAACGTATTAGATATTCAATTCAATGATTCCATAGAATTTAAAATCATCAAATTTGGTGTAGACCCGTTTATAAGCCGACCCCCGCTCTTTGATGCGTCACTTTTTTACCAAAAATATTTGGCTTATGAATGAGGTATATATGGTAATTTGAATTTCCACTGAAAGTAAGAGGTGGATATGGGGGAGATATCTTAATCTACAGCTACTACAATGTGGAAGATCCAGCTTGCTCATTGTAGCAGAGAGAGAATAGGGTACCACTTGCAGTTATGTCAACAGATTCTCAAATAGATGAGGTGAGGCTTTAGATACGTAGTTGAGAGAATTCCAGTTTAGGGTACATTCATAACACTTTGAGAAAACTGGAATTCTGAAAGAGTGTTTTTTCTGAAGCGCTCAATTAATAAAATATGTGACCTTGAAGCCTTTTAATTTGTGTAACTCAGTCCATTATTTCACTTTCTTCTGCAGGAGCAACAAGAGGACTTTAAGAAAGCTATTCTGGAGGGCATGGAGATGACCAAACATCAGGTATATGGGAAGCATTTGATTTTGTTACAGTTGAGGAACCATTGCATCTGGCTCGGTACTCTTTCATGCATGAGTTCTAAAATGAAGTATGAGAGAACCTCAAAAATCCCTTGTGTGAAGAGGAAAACTTTGGAGATAGTGGAGGTTACACCAAAGAGCAGAAGCACGTTGATACTTATCTGAGTGAATCACTTTTTTGATTTGCATGTCCATAAACCCACTCCCCGCAATTGCTAGTAGCAGTTGCACCATAGTTAAGGTTGAATTTCTTTCCATTATAACTCCATTCTGAATACTCCCACTTCCTTTCCCCTTTCTTCCCCCTAAAAAACCCCAAATCCTTACACCCCCTCAGATAGGAGTCTGATCTATGACCAACCGAGAATTTCCCCACCAAATTTGAATTTAATCTGACAAACTGTTCATAAATTATTATGCCCTTTATTAAAAAAAAAAAAAAAAAGCTTAACCAAAATTAGCAAATTCTTCTAATTATTGTTTGCCATATACAAGCAAAAAATCTGAAAGGATATAAATTAATCTCAAGTTTTACTGACCAAGGCCAGATCTCAGGCAAGCTAATTAAAAGTTAATGTTTAATTGCAAGTAGGATGTTAGGTGCCTGACACCCCTGACCCTTAGATTGTCTTCAGGAGGGAATCCCTTCTCTTGCAGGCTTTACTGTTGTTGGGAGCATTGGAGAATTTTAACTGGCCCAGCAATGTAGCAAGTTTTGTAAAGCCGGGAGCTAGCAAGTCCTCTGCAGTACTAGAGGTTCTTAAGCACCACAGGTGATTGGATGCGCACAACTTCTACCTTGGTGAAGGAGGGACTGCAGTTGTGGGCATATTGAATAACAGAGGCTGCCTGGAAATAGACAACAGATTCTGTATAAGTGCTTGAAGCTGGTTTCCATTTGCTCTATCTGTGGGCAAATGCTGCCTCTTCACCTTTGGAGGCGCCAAAGTCAGCTCAGCACATCAGGCTGGAGCACTCTAGTTGCAAGTCTCTAGGGACCAATGTTCCCTCTAATTTTTCCCATGCATGTGTGGAATGAGTTTTGTTATGTGCACCAATATGGAGGTGATGTGTGGCGGGGGTGAGGCCGAGGGATTCAAAGTGTGGAAGGGGGCTCAGGGTTGGGGTGCGGGGGGGTGAGGGCTCCAGGCTGGTGGTGTGGCCTCAGAGGTGGGGCCGGGGATGAGGGGTTCAGGGTGCAGGAGGGGGCTTGAGGGTGGGGCCCAGGGTTGGAGTGCAAGGAGGGAGGGCTCCAGCTGGGGGTGCGGGCTCTGGGCTGGGGCCGGGGATGAGGAGCTTGGGGTGCGGGAGGAGGCTCAGGGCTGGGGCGGAGAGTGGGGGGGGGGGGGGGGGGGGGTTAGGGCTCCAGCTGGGGGTGCAGGCTCTGGGCTGGGGCCGGGAATGAGGGATTTGGGTTGCAGGCTTCCCCAGGGCCACGGCGCGGTGAGAGGACTCCCCCCAGCCCTCTCTCACCTCAGCAGCACCTGGACTGGGGTTGGGAGAGGTGCCTCTCCCCGACCACAGCAGCTTCAGGGCTGGGGGAGAGTGTCTCTCCCCGCCTTTCCCGGCCATGGCAGCTCCGGGACTTGGGGAGAGGTAAGCACCTGTGTGGCCCTTGATAGGCTGCTGCGCAGCTTAGAAGGAACTTAACTAGGGACACCTGTTTTCTGGAATCAAACACCACTGAACAACTTCTTGACATAGACAGTTCTGAGCGTTTCCAATATCAGTAGAATCAGGACATGTACTATGGCTGCCTTTTTAAGCATACCAGCATTTTCAGGACACTTAAAATAGTTACCCTTTGCTTGATTGACTGGGAGATGGATTCCTACTTCTAATGTAAGCACTGCAAAGCTATGGCTGCAAGACACCAAATGATATGATGATGATAGTGAGTAATTGAAGCCTAGATACTGCAGTGAGACTGGAGCTATGGATGACACTCAATTCCCCCTCTGAGTGCATACATAAAATTTCTGTTTAGGAATATGAAAGAAATCATCTTTGTCAAGCCAACCTTAGCAGTAGAACTGGTTTTAAAAAGGCTTACAACTTCCCAACAGTCATAGGCCTGAAAATCAGTCGAATTCACAGCCTTTCAACTTCTGTGCCTGTGCTCTTTAGAATCATGGATCTGTGGATTTTATTCAAGTAATTTTTGGCTTTCAGGTGGCTGGTAGTGTGCTCTAGATCTGAAATGCATGAATATATATGAGTATATTCTGTGATCAGGTTGTATCTCTAATTTTTGCTAGAAAAACAAAACTTTAAGTTGAGTATTGTTTTGAGGGCTGGCTGTGGTTCTGCATGTGTTCAGAAAGTATTTAATTATCTCTAAAACTTACCACCTGCACAAACTGAGGATGAACTTACTCCCTGCGTAGACCATGATGCTGCTAAGATGTAATGTGAATAGTGGGACTGCTCACATCCTTAAGATGAAGCACAAGCCTTTAGTCTTTGCTGGAGAAGGTATTTAAACAATTGGATTGATCAATGCCAAACTTTCTAGTAATCAACCCAAATAAATGCCTCCACTTTGGTCTACTAAGAGCCAGTTTGCATATTCCTTTTCATTCTATTTTGGCTTTTTTTAAGCCTGTAGACATTAACCCTCTCTTTGCTTGTTACTTGGTGATCAAATGTGTTAAACATATGCAGCCTCTAAATTGTCATATTAGAGGTAGAGAAGTAGTGTTAAGATTTTCTAGCTTTTTAGAGAAGATGACTTAGAATATTTAAATGACTTATTGATGTCTTTGAAAATTAGCTTCAATTTGTAACACTAAATTATACAATGGGAGCTAATAATTCAATTTTCACATATGGCTACAGTATATTTACAGCAGTGAAATATCAGTGTCAATTTACTTTTCTTTAGTAGTAAATATTCAGAATCTGGGGTAATAAATCCTAAATTCATATTTCCTTTCAAAATTTAACCTGGTTTAATTTTACAGATCTTAAGAGTTAGAATTTGAAAAATACAATGCTAATTAACTTATAAATTGTACCATAATTAAATTATACTTGAATAGTCTATTAATATTACCGTATATGTACAGATATGAGTAGCAGAACTTAGTATTTCTAAAGGTGTGAGATGTTTAATATATTTTTCAGTTATCTTTGTTTACTGTAGCTCTCTTTATTTCTCCTCAAACATATATCTAGTTTTTATTACTTATTCTAAAATTATTAGACTCAAGATAGCTGTAAGTAGGTGTTCATCTTTAAAATTTGTACTGAATTAACGAGAAAATATTTGTGAATTTAGCAAGCTGTAAAGGTACCCTTAAAATGTATTTATGCTGTAAATTTGAAAGATGGTACTAGAGAGAGAGATAATAGTTATATGCTGAACACTAAGCAGATTGCCAAGCTGCAAGAGGGGGAAAGTACTTCAGGAATGATGACTCATAACAATCTATGTGTTTATAATACAGGGCAGCCTAAGACAGGTTAATTCTTGTGATGGATTTACAGAATATCACAAAAACTCTTTGGCAATTCATTCAGAACAATGTAAGTGTGCTAATTTTTCTGGTAGTCCAATGTTATCTCTGAATTTTATAAATTATGCATAATACTTCATCATTATTTCAAAGGGTGCATCAACATAAAAATCAAACTTGTCTCTGAATATACATTTAACCTGCTGTTACCCGAAACACCAGAGTACTCTTAACTGAGAGTAGGGAAGAATCTTCTGTATATTCTAAAGGTTTTTAACTTTGTCCATTTGTTTAGTCAGTTGTACTGTTTTTTCCAAGATAGTCAGGTTCCCCTGTTCATGTGCTTTTTCACATAGTTACACAGAGGAGAGAATCAAGTTTTTTATAAAAAATGGAAAATGTTACTTTAAAATGACAAAAATTACAGGGAGATATAGATGTTACTACTTGAAACTAATAATTCATCTACTTCAAATGACTAGATTTGAACGTGAGGGTGTTTCCTTTTAAACTTACTTTAAATATATGTTTCAAACCATTTTTTTTTTTTTCCTCTTGGAAGACATGCCAAGTAACACAAAGTAAATTTTGTGAGTGTTTAAATTCTTTTATTAGGGGCTAGATTAAATGGCTCAGTTGCTCACTTTGTTAGGAAAGATTATTTTGGTAAACACATACTTGTCTGATTCTCTTATAAGATTGTAAATTGATTTCTTTTCTAGTTCACAACAAAAGTAGAAGAGCATCAGCTGAAGATACTCAGCAAGTAGACTCTAAGGTTGCATTGCTCACGGTTTGTATACACCAGTTGACAGTTTTATCAGATTTCTCAAAGAATTTCTATAAAATTATATCTAAAATAAAACATTTTATTAAGATACAGTTTAATACTTACTTCAGATTTAGACCAATTGACATCCAGTGGTGGTAGTCACTGTGAACTTGCTTGCCTAGTTAAAATAAAGAGATGTACCTCTATAAAACTGGGATCTGTCTGTCTTCTGAGGAGATTATGCTCAGTAAGAGATACAGTGCAGGATTTCAAAGAGGGCTTTTGATAGACAGTGAAAGGAAAGGAATCCAGATCTGACTGTATCCATCATTGCCCCAATCTCTGGACACATGCTCCCTGCAGAACTAGATTCCCCACTGATACTCAACAGTTGGTCAAAAATCATCATGGGAATGCTAGAAATATATGACTGTTAGGAAATCAGTATGAAGCTGAAACACGATGATGTACAGAGAGAGAAAAATAGATGGGCTACATGGAAAGAGTAAAGCTCAGTTTGGGGTGTTCTCCAGTAAGTTCAGGAGGAAACAGCAGAGGTCCTGTTTTGAGTGGGAGGAAGGATAAGGAGTTGAAGATTAGTGTATTTGTCTTCAGTACAGTTCTGTGAGGATAAGCATTAACTTGTGATACTTTACTGTTTTTATAAAGAATGTTCTCACTTAGGAGTAAAAGGGTTTAAATAATCCACTAAATAATCATAATGGATATAATCACCTTTTCTATTGTGTTAATCAGTTATTTGTTCTTGTATATCTTAATATATTATCCTTGCAGTATGTTATATCCTTCCACTATATTTGAATCTTTCACTTCAACTACTTTATCAATACAGTCCTGAGAAATACTGCTAGTAGTACCTTTTATTTTCATATCTTAACATAGACTATACAAAGAGGTTAAGTAAACTCATTCTGCTTTCAGTATTGGGGGAAAATACTTGTGATTTTTTTTCTTTCTTTTTGATTTAAAGGATTGGTTACAAGGTAGACCTTCAAGTAGCAATCAAATGTAAGTAAGTTTTCTAATCAGTGATGGTAGAATTGTCCAAATATTTTCTGATGCACTGTTATCTTTCTTTAGGGCTTTGGTTTTTAATTTTGGCATTTAAGTTATTATGGCAGTGGTTCTGAAACATTCTAGTTGACTTAAAAAATGAATATGAGAGCATGAATCTCTGAAGTGTAATCTCTAAAAACTAGAAAATGGTAGGCATTTTAAAAATCAAAGGGAGAACTGAAACACCATATTGTAAATAGTCAACTATTTTGCAGTAGATTAAGTCTTACAATAGTCTTGCATTAATATCTTTTTAAATTTTTTATATGCCACTGGAGAGCAGCTCCTTCCAACTCAATGAGCAATAATTAAACAAAATAAAGTGAAAAAGCAAGTAAATTATGTTTTCATTAAACTGTTTACAAACATGATTTGTTTTATTTGAATGACTGGTATACATGTAAGTTAAATAAAAGATCTGGCCTGTGACCTTTTTTCCTAATAAATGACTAATTTTATTCATTGAAATGCATTGACAAGTTCCATTTAAGTTAATGGAGCCACACATGCACATCTGAGGGTAGAATGTGCATCTAAATGAAATGGTCTAATTTAGAGAGACAGGGTGGTGAGGTAACATCTTTTATTGGACCAACTTCTATTGGTGAGAGTGACAAGCTTTCGAGTCACATCTCTGTGTGTCTCTCTAATATCCTGGGACTGAAAGGGCTACAACTACACTGCATACATGGTCTAATTTGACACTAGTTAGTGAATGTGTTTTTAACTATATATTTTTAGCTTTCTGGATCCTTAACCTACCTTTTTATTGTGAATCCTCCCCTGAAACTACACAGTTATTACATTCTTTAGTAATTGATCCCATTTAGTTAACTGTTTAATAAAGCCATAGATTTAATAATCTGATGATTGAAATAGAAACTGAACAGGTAGTTTTCAATTCAACACCTCTATGGGATTTAGCTCTTGTAATGAAAAGTTGATATGCTGTCATACATGAGGAGTTTATAGTAAGGCTTTGACAACATACAAATACCTAATCAGGGTGCGGGTGTGTGTGTGTGTGTGTGTGTGTTTTAATAATAAAAAAACTTTCTACTGTCCTTGAAAAGTAGAGTAAAGTAGTAAAAAAATATTGCAAGCTCAACAAAGTGACTCAAGGCTGCTGTATCAAAATCAAAAAAAAAAAAAAAAAAAAAGTGGCTATCTTACAAGTGCATCTAATACTTTTGTATGTCACACTCTCTTTCTCTCTTTTACAGGCCTTCTGAAGAAGATGCCTTGAATGGTAAGTTTTTTTGCCTTAATGCAAACAAGCGGAGGAACATTTTCAACAAACACAACACATGTACTGCATATTCTAATATGAGAATATATTTAACATTTGCAGGGCCGGCTCCAGGGTTTTGGCCGCCCCAAGCAGCCAAACCAAACCAAAAAAAAAAAAAAAGCCACGATCGCGATCTGCGGCGGCAATTTGGTGGGAGGTCCTTCGCTCCCAGGTGGAGTGAGGGACCGTCCGCCGAATTGCCGCCGAGTACCTGGACGTGCCGCCACTCTCCGGAGCGGCCGACCCAAGCACCTGCTTGACAAGCTGGTGCCTGGAGCCAGCCCTGAGCATTTGGTAGCAGAAAGGAATTATAAGATGATAGGATATGAAAATGAATGAAGGTGAAAACCAAACAGAAAGTGACTTTTATTTTAGAGTGCTAGAAAAAGAATGTAAATTATGGATTTTGAAAGCAGTAATTAGTGAGAGAACTATTTCTTTGTTTTCTGCTTGTGGAATGTGTGCTCTTTTGTATTTTTGAAAGCGTAAAAGTGAGTGTTAAATAGTTATCCTCAGTCATAGACATAAGTGACTAATACAATCCATAACTGTCATAAGGTTTAAAAAATCATTCATATTGCACATACAGGCTTCATAATTTATCAGATATTCAAGAACTAAATGTAATATCTGAGCTTTGCAAAGCAACTTTTTTTTTTTTAGCTCAGTATTCACTTTGAGAACATAGGAAGCAAAAAGTAGAAGAAATGCACCCTTTGCACGTATGAAGATTTAACACACGCTTGTGCAGTATACAGCATCTCTTATCTTTCTTGACTTTTGTAGGTATTGCTTCTCCTTTCAAGCCGATCATGGACACCACTTACTACTACTCAGGTCAGTATCATAAAACTAATAGTTTAAGTTTAAAAATTCCCATTTCTTTTTATTAGGTCTGAGAGTTCATGATTTCTATAACTTTCCTCTACAGCTGTGGAAAGAAATAACTTGATGAGATTATCACAGAGCATTCCATTCACTCCTGTGCCTCCAAGAGGTAAGAAGCTTAATCTTTTTAATTGGAGTAGGTGGAAGAGAGGTCAGAATGAGGGTTTAATGTTGGTTCATTAAGAACTCTGGCAAACTTTAAAAAATTGCTCAATTATTTTTAATACAGAATGGGCAGACCAAACTTGATCAACCATTTTGGCAGCATCTCAAAAATAGATTACAGGACAATAAATAGAAGTCTAGTATCAGTATCTCACAAGACACTCACAAAATGCAGACTTCAATTATCATAGAATCATAGAATATTATAATATCACATCTTTACTAATGCAGCTTGTTTGCGTAAAGGAAACTGTATGACTTAATTCTAGTACTCTTCTTAGTTATAAAACTTCTCTGAAAAGCATTATGTAAATGGTGTGGAAAAGCTCTTCAAACTGCCTTTTTTTTGCCTTGTTATGCTTATTTTATAAGGTTTCCATCATTGTGGTAACTAGGCATGCGTTGCTTGATTTAAACTGAGTGATTAATACTTCCAATAAGAGAAGCAAAAACATCATGGTCCCCTGCTGGTTTAAGAAAGAGATTAGAGAGGGTTCTTCCAATCTGTTATGAGCTCCCAATTGCATTAGGAATTTAACATCTTGATTTATCCATGTCTAAAACCTATTTAAATATTTGCAGCCTTGTTAGCATATTTCTTTTCAGAGTTTATTACAATTAACATTTCTGTACTGTGATGTTACAGGTGAGCCAGTCACTGTGTATCGCCTTGAAGAAAGTTCTCCCAACATCTTGAACAACAGCATGTCTTCCTGGTCACAGCTAGGACTCTGTGCTAAAATTGAATTTTTAAGTAAAGAGGAGATGGGAGGTGGATTACGTCGAGCCGTTAAAGTAGCATGCACGTGGTCAGAATATGATATCCTGAAATCAGGACATCTTTATATCATCAAATCTTTTCTTCCTGAAGTTGTGAATACTTGGTCAAGCATTTACAAAGAGGAGACAGTGTTGCACCTCTGTTTGAGAGTAAGTTTTATTCTTGACAATTATTAGACATTGACAGGCAAAAATATTAAAAATACATTTTCAGTAACTAGTATACAACGAAGTTTTGATGCTTCTAATGTTCTACACAAATCAAAGGCCAATTTAAATATTTCTTGTTCAATAGATTTTTATTTTGTGTCAAATAGTTCAATCTCTTGACACAGAAGGAATTAAAGCAGTTGTATAGTTGTACACAACTTCTGACAGAGAGTAAAAGGATAGACATTAACCTTCTTGCTGATCTTTTATTCCCCAAATTTTCCCCTACATTATTTAATGCATTACTGAAGTATGGGCTTTCAATTGTAGGAAATTCAACAGCAGAGGGCAGCACAGAAGCTCACGTTTGCTTTCAATCAAATGAAGCCTAAATCCATTCCATATTCTCCAAGGTAAGGGTGTTAAATTATTCATGACACTGCACACTTTCTACTAGCCAAGTGTACTTTTATGCATATTATCATTTGAAAAAAATGTGTCCTCGGATTCAGTACACTTTGCAAAAACACTATTTAAGAAGTGTCAACATGCAAATCTTCAGCCACTGCCTTGGGGAAGAATATTTCCTGTTGGTACTTAATAAGGACTAGACTTAACTTGTATTTTAGAACCTAGCCAGATTTAAAAATAAGTTTGTCAAACCAAAAGATTTATCAGGCAGCAACTGCATAATTGCCTTATCTTATTGGTTTTAGTAATATTTCTGAAATATATTCTTTATAAGGTTCCTGGAAGTTTTCCTGTTATATTGCCACTCAGCTGGACAGTGGTTTGCAGTTGAGGAGTGCATGACTGGAGAATTTAGAAAATACAACAATAACAATGGTGATGAAATAATTCCAACTAACATGCTAGAAGAGGTCATGCTAGCATTCAGCCACTGGACTTATGAATATACAAGAGGGGAGTTGCTGGTACTTGACCTGCAAGGTAATATACTTATTTTGAAATTGGGATTAGGGGCAATTCTCTTTACATTCTCTTTACAATAGCACCTTAATGAATGATTGTGAATAGTGTTCATAGCATTACATAATAATTTTGGTCCACTTTACTTGAATGAGCAGTGGGCTTAGTTGATATGCCATTACAATGCTATAGGAAAAACTTAGGACAAAAGTTGAATTCTTATTTTCTTTCTTAGGGTGTGTACAATAAAAAATGCTAACATGTATGTGTTGGCATCTTCAGTCCATATCTGTAGTATCTTAATTTATCCTCAAGTGTCCATCAGACATGAAAACACTCACAGCTAAGATGTAGGAATCTTATTCTCTTTGGGCAAAATTCATCTTGTGTAGTGGGCTTGCATGCTGTTCAGGAACCACTTAAGATTTCAAAATAGGGCTCGAATGGGATTTAAGTGGTGCATATAGTTTGGGAGGGAGCCATCTGTACAGAAGTGAATATCGTCCCGTAAATTTTGACTTTCTATCTTGATTTATGTTCTTGATGACAAATTTGGAAATCCTTACTGCTGAGGGATTCTGGTTTACAGTGTTAATTTATTCATGTACTGTATCCAGTTTAACTCTTATATTTTGTGTGAAGGTGTGGGTGAAAATTTGACAGATCCCTCTGTGATAAAAGCTGGAGAAAAAAGGTAAGATTAATGGGTTTTGTTATGAAAAATTAACTTGTATTTAATGTTTGACTTGGACAAATACATACCATTCTTTTGTATGCTTTATTTTAAAGGTCATATGATATGGTGTTCGGTCCCGCCAACTTAGGAGAAGATGCAATCAAAAACTTCAGAGCTAAGCACCATTGCAATTCTTGCTGTAGGAAACTTAAACTTCCTGGTATGTGGCGGGGGGGGGGGAGGGGGTTGTGTTTTTTGTTTGTTTTTGTTTGTGTTTTGTTTTTTACCCTTACTATTCATTAAATTGTGTGTAGCTATGTCACAAGTTGAAAATTTAAAGAATATGGAAAATAGTAACGTTAATTCTAGCATTTCACCATAGTAATTTTGTAATGCAAGTTTATGTGTTATTTCCTAGGTTTAAAAAAAACAAAAATGAAAAAACTGGTTCTTTTTCAAGCTATTTGGTGATGATCAGGGATCCTAGAAATCCTTTTGCTATGGAAAAATGCAGAAAAATACGGAATTTGCATTTTTACAGAGAATCTTTAGTTTTTACATTTTTTGAAAAAATAAAAACACGTTAACTGTTAATAAGGCTAAGATTTTGTCAGGGATATTGTTAGTAAAAGTCACGGACAGGTCACAGTTTCCGTGAATTTTTTCTTTTTTGCCTGTGACCTGTCCGTGACTTTTACTAACAATATCCCTGACAAAATCTGCAGCTCAGGGGGTTCCCCCGACACCCGCGGAGCCTCGGGGGTTCCTCCGGTGGCTGAGGGCTATGGGGTTCACCCGCCACCAGTGGCGGACGGTAGGTCTCAGGGTTCCCACAGCGGCCGGGACCTGCGGGGTACCCCAGCGCCCACGGTGGCCAGGAGCTGCAGGTGCAAAAAGTGAAATCCTTGCAAGCTGCATGGAAACTTCTTAAAGACACCATAGTAGAGGCTCAACTTGCATACCCAAAATTAAAAAAATGTAGTAAAATAACCAAAAAAGTGCCACCGTGGCTAAACAACAAAGTATAAGAAGCATTGATAGGCAAAAAAGCATCCTTTAAAAAGTGGATGTTAAATCCTAGTGAGGAAAATAGAAAGGCGCATAAACTCTGGCAAATGAAGTGTAAAAATATTATTAGGAAGGCCAAGAAAAAATTTGAACAACAACTAGCCAAAGACTCAAAAAGTAATAGCAAAAAAATTTTTAAGTATGTCAGAAGCAGGAAGCCTCCTATAAACAACCAGTGGGGCCACTGGATGATCGAGATGCTAAAGGAGCACTCAAGGACAATAAGGCCATTGCGGAGAAACTAAATGAATTCTTTGCATCGGTCTTCATGGCTGAGGATGTGAGGGAGATTCCTAAACCTGAGCCATTCTTTTTAGGTGACAAATCTGAGGAACTGTCACAGATTAGAGGAGGTTTTGGAACAAATTGATAAACTAAATAGTAATAAGTCACCAGGACCAGATGGTATTCACCCAAGAGTTTTGAAGGAACTCAAATGTGAAATTGCAGAACTACTAACTGTAGTCTGTAACCTATCATTTAAATCAGCTTCTATACCAAATGACTGGAGGATAGCTAATGTGACCCAATTTTTAAAAAGGGCTCCAGAGGTAATCCCGGCAATTGCGGGCTGATAAACCTGACTTCAGTACCAGGCAGACTGGTTGAAACTATAGTAAAGAACAAAACTGTCAGACATATAGATGGACATAATTTGTTGGGGAAGAGTCAACATGGTTTTTGTAAAGGGAAATCATGCCTCATCAATCTACTAGAATTGTTTGAAGGGGGTCAAAAAGATTGTGGACAGGGGGGATCCAGTGGATATAGTGTACTTAGATTTTTCAGAAAGCCTTTGAAAAGTTCCCTCACCAAAGGCTCTTAAGCAAGCTAAGCTGTCATGAGATAACAGGGAAGGTCCTCTTACGGATTGGTAACCAATTAAAAGATCGGAAACCAAGGATAGGAATAAATGGTCAGTTTTCAGAATGGAGAGAGGTAAATAGTTGTCCCCCAGGGGTCTGTACTGGGCCAAGTCCTATTCAACATATTCATAAATTATCTGGAAAAAGGGGTAAACAGTAAGGTGGCAAAATTTGCAGATGATACAAAACTGCTCAAGATAGTTAAGTCCCAGGCAGACTGCAAAGAGCTACAAAAGGATCTCTCAAAACTGGGCAATAAAATGGCAGATGAAATTCAGTGTTGATAAATGCAAAGCAATTCACATTGGAAAACATATTCCCAACTATACGTATAAAATGGTGGGATCTAAATTCACTGTTACCACTCAAGACAGAGATCTTGGAGTCACGGATAGTTCTCTGAAAACATCCACTCAATGTGCAGCGGCAGTCAAAAAAGCAAACAGAATGTTGGGAATCATTAAGAAAGGGGTAGATAATAAGACAGAAAATATGTCATATTGACTCTCTATAAATCCATGGTACGCCCACATCTTGAATACTGCGTGCAGATGTGGTCACCCCATCTCAAAAAAGATACATTGGAATTGGAAAAGGTTCAGAAAAGGGCAACAAAAATGATTAGGGGTATGGAACAGCTTCCATGTGAGGAGAGATTAATTTAGACTGGGACTCTTCAGCTTGGGAAAAAGATGACTAAGGGTGGATATGATCGAGGTTTATAAAATCATGACTGGTGTGGAGAAAGTAAATAAGGAAGTGTTATTTACTCCTCCTCATAACACAAGAACTAGGGATGAAATTAATAGGCAGCAGATTTAAAACAAACAAAAGGAAGTATTTTTTAACACAACACACAGTCACCCTGTGGAACTCCTTTCAAGTGGGTGTTGTGAAAGCCAAGACTATAACAGGGTTCAAAAAAGAGTTAGATAAATTCATGGAGGATAGGTCCATCAATGGCTATTAGCCAGGATGGACAGGGATGCTGTCCCTAGCCTCTGTTTGCCAGAAGCTGGGAATGGGCAACGGGGTGGATCACTTGATGATTACCTGTTCTGTTTGTTCCCTCTAGGGCACCTGGCATTGGCCACTGTCGGAAGACAGGATACTGGGTTAGATGGATCTTTGGTCTGACCCAGTATGACCATTCTTATGTACTCCACAGCTCCCTGCCCCCACGGGTGGTAGGGGACCCTGCAGCTCCCGACCACCGGAGGCTGAAGTCACAGAGGTCTCTGGAAGTCACAGATTCTGTGACATCCGCGACTTCTGTGACCAAATCTTAGCCTTAACTATTAACTACATTTTAGTGAAAGTACCAGTGTTACCTATTCAATGTGTGCAACCTCCTCCTCTTGTGGTTTATTTTTGAATGTGCTTTAAATTTACATAGCTAAACATACTCCAATCAACTGTTTCCAGTGTATAGAGCAAAGGTGGGCAAACTACGGTCGGTGGGCCACATGCGGCCCGCGGAACTGTCTTGCCCGGCCCTTGAGCTCCCGGCCCGGGAGGTTATCCCCTGGCCCATTCCCCGCTGTCCCCACTCCCCCCATCCCCCCGCAGCCTCAACTCGCCATGCCCCAGCGCTCTGGGCAGTGGGGCTGTGAACTCCTGCCGGGCAGCGCAGCTGCGAGAGCATTGTATTAAATTGCTCCCCATAGGAATGTGCTACTTAGGGAGAACCAGCACTGGAAGCTGTAAGTAGTACACCGTAAGTAGCACATTCCTACAGGGAGTAATTTAATACACTACTCACGGATAGGGAAGGCTTTGCCTCCCGGGACCCCCTGCCCCTTATCCGCTCCCCGCCCCCTTACCATGCCACTCAGAGCACCAGGACTGGCAGCCGTAAGTAGCACATTCCTACAGGGAGCAATTTAGTACACTACAGGCCCTCCATACAGTTTCGGAACCCCAGTGTGGCCCTCAGGCCAAAAAGTTTGCCCACCCCGGTATAGAGGTTCTCAATGGTGTATAGGGGTTCGTGTTTTAATGCATCTCAAATTTCACTTCAGCCTCTAGAAGTGAGTGATTAAAGTTACGAAAAGATGCCGAAAACTTTAAAAATCACCTCTAAAGACCGTGTTGCTGAACTTGGCAAGGACAAATTTCGCATTGATGGTAATGTGCTGTTTTGTACTGTATGCAGCAAGGCTGTAGATTACGTTTGAAGGCAGACAATTGTAGAACACCTTGAAAGCACTAAACATTAACCGAATGAAAGAAATGAAAACAAGAGGCTGAAACAGCATGGCCATCGACAACAGTAAAAAAATTGCACTGTGACTTGATCAGTTTATTAATTTTATTTTATTATTCTGATTGGCACTGGCAGGCTTTGAACTTGTTTAAAAATTGTAAATATATCAATAAAACGTGTTCAACTGATAGCTATATATATTATGGCTAGGGAAACTCAAGTTCAGCGTTTCATTTTAATCATGGGAAAAAAAGGATTTTTGTGTTTTTTTTTTTTTTTTTATCAGAGAATTTCAGGGGTTTTTTTTAATCACAGAAAACTACGATCCCTGGTGAGGAAATCTTATCTTCACAGTTCACGTATAAGGACCATTCTAAAAATAAGAAAATAGATTGCAAGAGGGTTGTCAAACTTCATCCTGCCACCCACCCCCGATATAGTGAGGTGAGGCGCTTTGTGCCAACCACCACACTGCATGGCAGTCCAAACTCTGAGTTCAAATCCTGCCCATCCTGCAATCAACTGATCCCCATAAAGAATGGGCACAACCAATGCTTCTCCTATCTAGGAGGGAGCCATATCCTGGATAAGTGCTTTGTGTGCAAGTTTTTCTCTGCCAGTACACACAAGTTCAGGTATGTTAGGATCAAAGTACATCTACTGTAGTGATCCATGTGGATCACTTCAGACCCAAAGGTGATAGTTATGACTAGAGCAAGGCCAGATGAATGAGTATTGACCACTAATCCCTCAAGCTGTCTTCATACTCCAGAATCAGGCAGTGGAAAGAAGGTGATGAGTACGTGAGCAGAGTCAGCACCATCAATGCTGACCACCTTAACATCAGCAAAGTCACCAATGCATAAGATCTTGGTGCCAGTAATCTCGGCACCAGCCCCTTCAATGTCAGCAGTCCAGCACTGATTACCTTGGCACCATAGACCTGATGCAAATAACTCCAGCTCCTGTACAGACTGCTCCACCCACAGACTATAAAGCCAGCACCTGCACCGCCCCATAAAGGGGACACCAATTTATATAGTCAGTCCAAACACAAGCGTAGGTCCAAGACTGCAGGTA